TAAGGCTATAGTAAGGCATGTTTTAAACAAATTAGAGTATTTTGAAAAAAAATGGAATTTCTTTTTAAAATATTCTTTCAAAATCGTACTTTTTGCATGTCGTGTCGTCTCATAATTTTTTATGAGAATCTTTGAAAAATCATATTTCAAAATTTTATATTTTCTTCTCAAATTAGAGCATTTTTAGATTAAAAAAAAAATTTTGTAATTTTTCAGCAATATCTTAATTTCACATGTCGTGTGGTCAAATTTGAACATTTTTATGTTTTCTGCAGGCGTCTCGTCAAATTACAGCATTTAAAAAAAAATTTTTGGAAGAAACTTTTTTGTGAATTTTTCAGCAAAATCATAATTTCGCATGTCATGTGGTCAAATTTGAGAAAAGTTCAACTTTCAAAAATCAACTTTCCAAATTTTATGTTATCTGCATGTTTCTCATCAAATCAAAGCATTTTGAAATTTCTTTTAGAAAATAAAAATTTTCAAAATCGTATTTTTGCATGTCAGGTGGTCAAATTTGAATTTATTTATGAAAATCTTTGAAAAATCATATTTCAAAATTTTATGTTTTCTGCATGTTTCTCATTAAATTAGAGCATTTGGGGAAAAACATTTGGAAAAAAGAATTTTTCAGCAAAATCCTAATTTCACATCTCATATGGTCAAAAGTAAAATAATTTTTATGAAAATTTTTGGATAAAAAAATCAAAATGTTATGTATTCTTGTTTCTTGTTTTATCAAATTATAGCATTTTGAGAATTTTTTAACTTTTTTTAAGGCAATATCCTAATTTCGCATGTCATTTTTGGTCAGATGGAGAAAAATTTTGATTTTTTTTTAATGATCTTTTCTGCATGTTTTTTACCAAATTAGAGCATATTGAGAATTTTCTTAATGAATTTTTTAATTTTTTGGTGAAATCTTAATTTCATCAATTTCATCAAACCTCAACTTCATCTTGATCAGGTGGTACACATTTGGTGTTGTGTACTTTTTGTTTGAGACTCACGTGTATCGTATCGTTTCCCATCAGAGTCACGATCATACCCGACAGAAAAGCCGTTTTTAAACAAATTGCAGAATGCCTGTTCAGGATCTCCACACACCGATCTCAGCCAAAAAGTGGCGTCTTCTGTTTTAGGCACATTACACATGGGCGCTTGCACAGTATCAAAACAATTGCGCAATCCACGATTTCAGACGCTAAAGTGAACTGCACTGACAGTGGGACAGAGGCAAACATTTCATTGCAATACAACGTAAAGCGGGACAGGCGGTCACTCTAGCGTCAGTGTTCACGTGACTCAGGTCCAACGAATGAACCTTCGACACAGTGTTTTCAGAAGCACTACTAAGGGTATGGGGCCATTATTGTATATACTTCACTGGTCCCATAATCTATGGTTCCAACCAGCCCAGGTAGCCGGTCACTTATATCATTGTGTGCTAGCGCCCACTGGTGGTATTTAGTGTGGAGGCACGCAGACAAATCTTCACAGCATTTGTAAATCTGTTCACACACACAGATGCAAATTTACACATTTGCAAATAGTTTTGCTACAGTAGTCCCATAGTTATACAGTACAGTATTGATGTGATTAAACATTGTTTTAAAGATTCACATACTGTACATATGCACCATGACCAACCTCTAATAGCCATTTCCCAATATATATATACTGTACATATGCACCATGACCAACCTCTTCCCAATATATATATTTTTTAATTTTCCATGGTTGTCATTGAACACCTTGATATTTTATGTGAAACATAAACCAATTCAAATATGAATGCCTTGTTTTAATCTTGAGAACTTGCTAGACAGTTGTTGCTGTTGTCCGATTCTCCTCTATGAGATGTGCTGGACATTTTTGATAGGAGATATACTGTATCTGAGCTGCAGACAGGCCAGTCAAGCATCATCACTTTAAGTCTATAAAGCAACGCTCCTGTAAATTTGTGCAGAATAAGGCTTGGCATTGCCTGCTAAAAAATCCATTGAATGACTGGGAAAAGACATACGACAGCTAAAGCGTACAGCAAACCACAAAGCGGAGGAGTGAGTAATGCTCTTACTTTATGACAAGAAGATCACTGCTTGGTAAATGATGGACTTCCTTTTTGAAATGTCAACAAACCTGGGGGATTAGGTTATCTCTCCAATCTAAATCAGGGGTATTAAACTCCTGGCCTGGGGCCAGGTCTGGCCTGCCAATAATAATCTAAATAATAATAAATCTAAATGTGCTCTTAACGTCATTTTTTTACAATTATTTTTAAATTTTGTCAATCATACTACACAAAAACTAGTGTTTCTAAAATATCTGTGTTTTTTGTATTGAACAATGGACCTTCAGGGGAGTGACAATGACAGCTGTAACCCCCCCCATCTGAGTTTGTGACCCCTGCTTTATATTTACCGAGGGTTTGAATGTGAAGATGAACCGTCTCAAGGACTAGCAGTGTGTCAGTGTAGCCCGCCATGGCCGAATGGCTGCTGGGATTGGCCCCTGCTCCCACAGCAACCCTGAAAAAGATTGAGTAAAACATTACATAAAAGTCATATTGAACTGAGATTTTTGTCAATTTAAAGCAATATTTCCAAGTCGTATGGACAAAAATGACAAGATTAGAGGCTGAATGTGTGTGACTGCCACTGTCATGACACTATGGACTTCACAACACACTTCACTGTTTTTACAGTGCATACGACTGTTGCGTTCTTGTACTATTGTCAGTCTTCGCCAGTCCTATAACAAACACCTTTGTTGTTAAACCACTTGCTCCTGACACCAGGTCTATTTCTTGCACAAAGGAAAACATTTCACTTCCAAAAAACATTCCTCGTAAATCACGTGTCTACAGTTCAAAGATGATTAAAAAGTGGAATACGTCTACCTCTATTCCAACTTTCCAGAAGACTGTTGAAGGTAATAATTCTTATTATATTACATTTCGTTTCAGAAATAGAACACCAGCGGTCAGTGAAAACTATAAAAACGTTTTATTTATCTGTATGCCTCATAAATACAATTTTAAGTGAACAGCCAGATTTAAAAAAAAAAATTGGCTTCTTGTTCATTACTAAATCTCCCTTCCTCCCCATCTCAGAAAAAAGTTTCCACGCCTCAGTTTTTACTGACATTCCTGGGTCCTGACTTCCGAAGACAGAAAACCTCATTAAAGAGCTGAACCTGATAAGCCGGGCATGAAAATGTCCTCAAATGGCTCCTGTGTAGACAAACAATAATTCTCCTAAGCGCACCACTTGTAAAACTTTTTTTCATATTTTCTCCCTGCTGATTATAAGATGCCAAGCATTATTTCTATGTTTATTCCAACATTCTTAATCCCTCATTTTAATCCCTTTGTCTAATCAGCTTCCCAGCCTTACCAGACTTGAGGCATTTAGTGTAAACACTAGGTCCTCTTCTTAAACCCATACCAGGGAACAGATTGTTGCTACAGTCGGCTGAGAGAGGACAGCTGCAGCCAAAACGGTTGAACAAGCAAATTTATGTCCGACTTGTCACTTTGGGGCCACAATGAATTATTCCAGTGTCTCCACCAGGCTGTCAGGGGCCGGCCTTCTTCTGGGTCTCAGACACAACAGTTGTGATCAACAATCTCCTCACTGCAGCTTCCGATGCTCGACTGCACTTCCAATGAGCTGTCGCATAACTTTTTAAAACTTTGAGGCTTCCTGTACCAGATATTCTTCAATCCCTTGTCTCTCAGAGCCAGACATTCTCCATCTGGCCCTCTGCTCTGAATCTCAGGCAAAAGAAAAAAAAATAATGTAAGACGAGTACAAAACTACAGGCGCATTTGCAGCAGCCATATCAGGTCTATTATTAACTGTGATTAGACACAGTAGGTGTTGAAACCCGTGGAGTTTTTATATATATATATTATAAATTATTATATAATATATATATATTTTCAGAATCAACATCAGCTCTTATGTGAGAGACATAAAAAAGCTGACTTTTTTCAAGTTCCTTCAACTGAAGGTGCAAAAGCTAACCTCCGAAAGCTGTGAAAGAAACCATGGATGAAGAGACACAATCGCTTTTACAAGACAAGCATCTGTTGACAGCTGGGATCGACCTCTGCCTCCTGTGACCCTGCAAAAGAATAAGTGATAGATAATGGATGGGTGATGAGATGATTATGAGAAATTCAAAAGACAATTAAACTGCTTCAATTATACTTAAAATGTGTTTTTTAATTAAAATTATAAATATACATCTGTTTAGAATTAAATGTATTTACTTTACCACCCACAGGCAGCATTTCTGTCAGTTTGTCAATGGAAAAACCCGTATTGTTGTAGTGACCATTTAGTTTTCCAATTGTTTTAACCTTAAAAGACGACATAATGTAATCATGTACAAATGTAATGTTTATTGTTTTTCTTACAGCAGTTAGCAATAGTTTAACTATAGCAAGCCAAAAAAATAAATACAAATTTTAAATTATTTTAACAATGTGTGTGATTCATCAGAGCAACAGTAGCAATTCACATTAGTGGGGCACAAAATCCAACAAACAGGCATGGCTCCCTGTCTCAGTCCTTTACCTCAGGAACTGACTGAAAATTTGATTTTTTTTTTTCTTTTTCCTTATCAACTCAGACAATTCATGTGGGTCGATACGGACATAAAGGAACGTACAGAGAAGAAGCCATTGTGCTTGAACAAAACTGGGCCCAGCAGAAGCAGGAAGGAGACTGTGTTTAACATGCAAAGAAAAGGAGAACACGACGAGAAAAGTGCATAAATATTCAAAAAAACAAACCTGGAAATAACAGACTCCTAAAAAGCTAACTTAGGAGACCCATTTAGAAAAAATCTGTTCTGAATTTTTCATATACAAAGACGTAAATTAAGTTGAAAAAGGGGCACGGTGACAGTTGTGAGTCACATTTATTTTCCCTGACAGATGTGAAAGCACTGGGCTCTGTTTGCCTGTTCAATGAGTCCAGCCGTCCAATCAAAGGTCTTCTCCAGGCTGTAGCCGTAATCTATCCCCCAATCAGAAATATACATTCTACAGAATTTAACTATGTAGGAAAGTTTACTACATGAAGGTAGAAACTGAACCACACGAGCAACCGTACCCACGCGCACTCACTCACACGCACACCCACACTCACATGCGGACACACAACCTTCCACATCCCTCCACAGTGCATTCATTTGTCACTGATCCTCGTCTGTGACATCATTTCCCTTTGTGGCTGCGATGCTCCCATGTGCTTTTACAAGTGGCACGGAGGCCTGGGAGGGCCACAAAGTCTCTCTGGAAGCGTGAGTTGGGAGTTCTTTGTCGTTTCCTTTCCCCCTGAGTTGTGAAGAAGGCGTCCTGGAAACGCATGCTTGATGCAGTGGACTGCGGGGTGACATGGGGAAAAAAACGGTTAGTAAAATGAATCTCACGGAATAAAGTTATTTTTTTAAACTTCCACATTTGTGTTAAATTTAAAAAACACACTTAAAATTCAAGTTTCTGCAGCACAATATCTAATACTTACAAGTCTACGTTTCACCTTTTTAGGCAGGTCTTCATCTAACGTATAAACATCTTCTCTCTTCGCCAGCACTTGGGATCCATCTTCGAACTCCACCTGAGACGACAAAAAAAAATCTCATTTTACTTAATTGAAATAATGGTTTTAATTATTTAAATGACTGACAGTTTTCCTCATTCAGTTAAGACAAGACATAACGTTTCTCTCAATGGCATTTGTTCCCAAAAAGGATTAATTATTAAATGTCACTGACTGTTGATATTAAAGTGTGATTATGTTAACCAGACAGGATCAAACATGCTCTATAACTGACTAATCAGCAGCAATCTCCATCTATCTTCAGTTATTATTATTATTTATCTCTGTCTGAATTGCTTTGAGGCACATTTCCGTAATTAGAGCAGAGCTGCTGCCACAGTTTAACGATTCAACCGCATCTTTGGAACAGAACCACTGGAGTCAGACAAAGACGTATCATCTGCTGATCCGTGTTTGTCTTTCTGACCAGAGCCGACGTCTCCTGTAGAGCTAATAATACCATAATAACTGCATCAGATACAGAGAAGAACAGAAGCAGAAATGACGCAGAGATGATCCTTTTCTCTGATAACAGACAAGTTCACATTAATAAAGACATGAAGTAGATCAACTGAACAAAGATCAGGTCCTTCAGTACAGATTGTACCAAACATAAATTAAGATAAAAAGTTTTTTTTTTTTTTTTTAAAGGCTACATAGAGATGTTTAATTAGAAACCCGTTTAACTGACGTGTTTGATAAACTTAATTTTGGTCCAAACACTTCTGCAAGGCACATTTCTTTTGTTTCAGAAATCAACTTTTTTTTTTTTCAATTCATTTTTTTAATTCTGGAAAAAAAATCAGAAAGAATTGGATCAGAAACTACTGCAATGCTTAAACATTTTAACCCGTGTCCAATCATTTTTGGTTAAAAATGTATATTACTTTTTTCATTCGGCTTATTCTCAACTTTGGTGCTGGGCTTTTATTGACATTGCACAACCACCCCCTGTGGATGCAATATTCACCAGGGCAGCACTCCCCATGGTGTGAGTAGTTTAGGATGAGGTACATCCTTAATTTTATTGTCTAGACAACAAGGAAAAAGTTATTTGAGAAATTAACATTGTCGGAAATTCAGACAAACAAACTCGACTAGCAATAATCCACTCTGAGCTGAGAGCTCTGATAAATTGAAAAATGTTTGTTTGGTTTTTTGGGTTTTTTTTTTCACCTGCAGTGAGTTCCTCCCATATGTTTTGTAACTGTTTAAACTAATTTTAAGGACAATAAAGTAACAAAGATTTCTCACCGGTCACCCTTTTCCAGACTTTACCTTAAATCACATGCGTCTTAAAACGCGCCGTGTGCGTCACAGATGCATTCGTGCATAGCTAATGGTTGACGCCCAGCTCGACTAAATAAAGCTTTCAGCTGAAGCTGCATGACGTTCTCGGTAAATATTTCATGGAGTTTGAATAATGCAGATTGTAACCACCCTCTCATCCTCCCGACTCGCTCCCCATCTGCCTCCACACTCCTGCCTATATATACGTCTGTCGTGCTCTGCTCCTCGTCTTTCTTCTCTCCTTTGGTCGGCGTGACTTAAACACCTCCCTCAGTTTCCGTCTCAAGTGCCTTCTTCTCTCTCTCTCCCTTCATCACTCAACAAATGAACCAGTGACAACATCCAAGTTGAGTTCCCAAGATTCTGGTGCTCAGGGAAATCCAGCAGCTTTTGCTCTGACCTACATCTCAGTACATCTGACATCTTTATTCAGCACTTATGGGAGAATAAAGATTAAACCTTCACAACTTTTTCATGTCCGTCGCCTCCTAACACACCCCCGGCCTCACTGCGCTGAGTGCATTTAAATGTACCTGGTACATGTAGGAAACGTTAGATCCGAGGTATTTGGCGTCGTAGAAGAGTCCGTCGGGCCATTTCACTTGCACAGCTTCTCCCACTTCAGGAGGTCCCAGATTCACACAGTCTCTGCTCTAAAAAGAAAACGAGGGGAACAGCGGTCAAGGTTTGTCACAGTGGAAAACCGAATCACTGAAAGTCCCTTCGTTTTCATTAAAATCTGTGTTGTTTAGGGAGATTTTTAATTATGACAGCGCTATACCTAACCATATTTATAGTAGTTTTGACAAACGTCAAGTGATTAAATGTTTTTCGATGCACACTGCTGGGGGAACTCCCGCGGTGCACTGAGCATTTTCACTCCCACGTCGTTTTATTTGTACATAAGATATTTCATGAAAACAACCTCGTCTTCTCTCTTTCTCATGTTTTCATTTCTCTTTATTTCAACTTAAATCCTTCTCATCCTAACTTGTTAAACATCGTCTTTCTCTTCTCTGAGGGGGTGGATGGCCACACACTGTTTCCAAATTTCCAAATGAATTGTACTGCATTAAATCAGAGATTTTAAAAGACATTGTGGAACTCCACGTCCAAGGAGGAAAAAATAAAAATCAACATCTGCATTTTGTGACAAGGAATGAATGTAACAGTGTGGAGGGATGGTTCTTCACCTCGTGTCTGCTGCTGCATTTGTGCTCACTGTTCCTGTTCAGATACTCAGACACTCTGCTGTTCATTTTGCTCATTTCATGCCTGCTTTCAAATTTGAAAACCTCCACATTTATTATACCTACTGCAGAGTTGAATCTGAGTAATCCCCAGGTCATAATCCCCTCATACTCTTATTTAATGACCACCTTCAAATATATTGACTGAAAGAATGACCACACTAAAGAGTAACCACTCTGGAGGAGGGTTACTTGAGCAGCTTCTTCTCCTACTGTAGGTCAGGATCATCATTAATCCTATATTATAACATGTGGACTGTGTTAATAAGGACTGTTGAAAAGTGTTCCTAAAACATTTATTTGATGAGTCTCACTGACACTGACATCACATCTGTCTGTGGGTGTTTTGTGTGCAGCTGAACGAGTCTACTGTAAGATATAGGAAACTAAAAGCCACATCTAGCCTATTTCTTCCATAATAAAACTCCTGTTCATCAATCAAACAGAGATTTCCTCATTTTTGCGTCACTTTGTGGTAAAGCAAGGGTTAAAACTGGGATTTTGTTTTTTAGAATTTTTTTTATGAAAAAAAAGCAACTTCACATCACAGCTGCTCTTTTTTTTAATCTGCATTGGATGGAGTAAACCATGACAACCCCACTATGACTCATACTCTCAGGTTGCATGGACTGCTCTGGCCACAGTAAGGCTCAGCAATTGCTACTTAAATTATTGGGCCATTCTTGCATTCCTACAGAAGTGCTACAAATACACAAAGAACTTTGAGATAATCAGTTATGAATAAAACAACAAAAAGTGATGAAGTTTCCTGTTAAACTTTAGAGGATGTCAAAGGAGCAGAGAGAGCAAATACAAGAGCATTTACAGCTGGCCGCCTGTGATCTTACATTAATATTGGGTCTGAATATAGTCTGATGCAGTAACGCAAGCTTGAAGATGTTCTTGTCGAGACTACTTCACTTAAAAAGTGTTGGACATAATACAACTATTATTACTCTTTGATTACTTGAACAAATCCATCTTTTTATCTCCTCAGAAATTGATTTTCTACTGCTGCCATGACAACAGAACAGTTTGACTACCTTTCAGTGGCCTTTTAGAAATCCAAGTAATTTCACCATCATTGACAAAAGGTTAAGAGCAATGAAAAAAAAAAAGCTTTGTGGCATCCAAAAGGTAATTGCTCATGCAGTGATTGTTTGAGAGCCAGAGATGATTATCT